GTGTTTGAAATTCGATATTTCGCCAATTTTAGATTTTATGCAGATACTTAAGCTTTATTGGTTATTTTGTAAAATATTAGTTTACAAATATGAAGATTTAAGGTAAATGATACTAATAAAAATATTAATTTTTCTCATAAATTATAGGTATTTTGTGACAAAATCCATAACCTGGCTATAAGAAGAATAAAAAATATAGACTAAAAATACAAGTTTGACTCAAATTTGTACTTTCTGAGCGTGATAGTTCTCTAAAAATACCTTTTCTTATTATGTGAAATAAAAATAAGTATGCATAAACAAAAATAAGTATGCAGAAACAAAATATTAATTATTAAAAAGTAAATGCACAAAAAATTACTTTTTATTTGGTACATTTAAACATTTTTTTGTCAAGATTACTTTGAAAATAGTCAAAACCAATATTTCTGTTCATGTACTTATTCTTATATATGTTCGTGTCCTGCTCATACATAGTAATACTTCAAAAGGGACCGTTGTATTGGGACAGGAAACTACTGTTTTATATTTTTTTTATTTTAGCAACTTTTCACTATCTCTAAACCTATTATATTTGTTCATTTTATTAACCATTGTTTAAATTAAGTTTGTCCTTCCTTCGATAAGAATTTACCCACATTTTGTAGCATTCGCAAATATCTTACATTACACTATTTTTGAATTTCATATTATGGTTTTTGGAAGTCGCCACCGCGCAGACTGGCATTTTAAACATTAATTCAATTCTTCCCTATTATATATAGGAAAATATAGTCATTACTAACACAAAAACAAACAAATTATTAAGTTATTTTACACTATTCAATCGAAAAATTACAGAATAACTTGAAAGTTCGTCCCACATTACGTCATTGCGCGGTTTGGACGAAATTTGAATCGAAAGTCAGCATACCGTTAGTATGTGTATCGAGATCTAGTCATAATACATTAATAACAGCTATAATACATGATATTAGAGAGTTATTGCAAGTTCACTTAAGGTCAGTCACTATTAGTGCCGCTCTTATTTTGACATCTGAGCATGCGCAGATCACTAACTTTAATAAAGATTGTGCCTATCCTTAATAGAGAGATATTGCAAATTTTTATAAAGCCAGCCACTAATAGTGACATCGTAATTAGAGTCAAATAAATTCTATAATAGTACCTAATATTAAAGAGGCATTATAAATTATAATTTTAGAAGGTTTAAATGACGAGCGCATCCGAAAGCTATAAAGTCGCCACTACCTGCTGCCCTTAAACATCCACAATTAAGGACAGGCACAATCCTTAATAAAGTCAGTTTTAGAACATAAACATCTGCGCATGCTTAGATGTCAAAATAAGAGCGGCACTAATAGTGACTGACCCTAAGTGAACTTGCAATAACTCTCTTTTAAGGACAGGCACAATCTTTGTTAAAGTTAGTGATCTACGCATGCTCAGATGTCAAAATAAGAGTGGCACTAATAGTGACTGACCTTAAGTGAACTTGCAATAACTCTCTAACAACATATCCAACGTTTTCATTGGTTCATATTTCAATGAGTGATATAGTCAGTATCATTAGGACAGTTCGGGTTCTTCAAAAATACATTGAGAACTATCTAAGGACTAGTTGACCATTGGACAGTTTAATAGTTATATGCGACGAATAATTTGGAATTCAACTGTTCCACTGGTTCTCGGACGGTTTGCATCGAGTTTTAAAGAAACCCGAACAAACCTATTCCTATTATCTACTTTAATATTTTGTACTCAACTGTTTATCATCTTTCGGGCCCGAAAACGGTTGTCTAAATGTTTTCAATAAAATATTATTGTGTGGTACCTACCTACTTACCGTTTTTGTTTTTCCTTTCTCATTCGGAAAACGAAGATGACCACTCCACCTTGGAAGAGCAGAATCACCTTCAACTAAACGGAGATGACTTGCTTTTGTCATTTTAGATAAACATTAGTTTTTTAAGTAGCAAAAAACGTAATTTTGTCAGAAATTATGTGTACAAAAATAATTTATCCAAAAATTATTTGTACAAAAATAGATTGTCCAAAAATAAGCGTAAAAACAATTGGTCGAAAAATAATTTGTCCAAAAAAATTATACTGAATAAATATAACAAGAAAAACCGGGTAAATTGGGTTTATATTTATCTCGCTAATAGTAATAAATCTTTGCAGCGTGCCCACTCCTCTTCCCTCTAGAACGAATCCTAAATCCGCCACTGTATTCATTCTGGATTCTATTAAAAAATAATTATAAGTAGATATTATGTAGACATGTACCTATAGCTGTATAGGTATATTACAAGATATAAATGTTTATAATTCTATAAATAAACTGGTTAGGTAAGTAGGAACCTGGTAAGTATAGGTACATTAAAAATATTCCAAAAAGTTGAATAAGCCTATGCCCATCCAGATGCTTCTATTTTAATAATCATTTTATGGTTAAAATCAAAAGTGATTAATTTATTTAATAACAACTATTTATAGTTTTCAGTGAGTCATATTCGTTACTCAAAGAATTTGGTCAAATTGTTTTTAGATAGAAATGACGAGATATTACAACCTTCCCCTTCCAAGATCACTGGAACGTTCTCGTACCAGAACCGCACTTACCCATTTGTGCCTATTAACTGTTCCTATTTCCTGCTTATATTTGGATAACATTTGCGAAAGATGTATAAAATAAAAGCCCATGAATATAATTTGGATTGTATTATAATATCCAAAGAAAACTATTTTCCTCAAAATATGTTTATTGACAGTAGGATTATGTTATTTGGAAGCTTCAATTGGTTTTTCTATAGCAGGTACATAATATTATGTATCATGAGTTTTCAACAATATCCGTATCCCACGTGATCTAAAAAAGCAAAAAGTTTGATGAAAATGACCGTTCTTAATGACTTTTATTACGTCTTTAAGTCTTAAGTATATAAGTTCTGTGAAACAGGTCAGTGGCATTGTTTTAGGGTTGCTACTGAAGTTATTATTTAGTAATAGTTCGTGATCTACAAAAAATGTTTCTAAAGTAGGCATGTCGAGCGAACAATTATTTTTCTTTTTAAGTGTCAGTTTGGATTTAATTAGGCATTCCAACGACCTGTCAAACAATAGGTGCCAGTGGGAAATTCTTGTATATATAAGGGGGTAGCGACATAATCTTGCAACTTGGACGCTATTTTTATTCGAAGTAGTAGTCGCCAAGCCTGCCAATTTATAAAGAAATGTATAGGTGGGTTTTTTAAATATTATTTTTATAGTGTTTGACATAAAATATTTAAATGTTATCCATTATTCATGATTTTACGTAAAGTAGATAGAATACACCGTATGTCGCCACCCTTAGATATACCAAACCTTCCCACTGGCAATTAATTTGTTTGTTGGAATGCCTAATTCAGAACCACGCATATTTATCACGGACATGACTCGTATCTCTGTCTTCGTCGGTCATGGTCTACTTTAGTAACATTTTTTGTGGATTACTCCTTTATTAATATTAATTTGACCAACTGTATAATCTCGAAGACGATTAAAATCAAAATGTTTCATTGTGTTCTATAAAAGACTATTTATTTGGCATAAAATTTAAATACATATTATATTTATGACCAACATCGCGTGTTTTCAGACATAACACATAAACAGGCATACATATTATACAGGTCCGGAAAATCAACTTATGAACCGTTGTGGTTACGGCAGAGAATTCTTTAAGGACTCATGTATTTACACGCCTTGAAGTTAGAATACTTGAGCAGATTTTCTTGATTTTCGTTAAGCGAAAGGATGAAAAATTTTACTATCTTCACTTTATTTTCTTAATGCGTTGATTAGGTATATCTATGATCCAACAAAAATGTTTCTAAAAATTCATGCATGTCGAAGCGTACAATTCTTCTTTTTAAGTGTCACTTTGGATTTAATTCTAACCGTGAGTAGTTATCACGGACATTATTTATATGTTAGGTGTACAATTGGCTTAATTAAAGAGTGATCAACAACTATTCAAGACTGAGACAGGCCAAACAGTTCATCAAGGAACCATCGGCCAAGTTCACGAAAGACCTATTAGATCAAAAGCGTCAAACCGTTAGGATAACAGTAGGCCTTCTTACTGGACACTGTCGCTTCAAAAGACATATGAGTGTCATAAATCCAGCAGAAGAAGCAACTTTGTGCAGGTTCTGTGAAGAAGAAGAGGAAACATCATTCCACGTCCTGTGCTAATATGATGGCCTCGCTGGAATGAGATTTCTAACATTGGGCAAAGAAAAGCCAAATGCATGCAACTACATGCGGGAGCCTTTGTCAAAGCTACTAAGTCTAATATAAAAGACCAGGCTAGACGACATATTCTAAACCAAACGGGGTCCCACAATAGATCTGAAAAGGTCGCGGTGGACAAGGACAAATAACGTCCAACTCCTAATCTAATCTAATCTAAGAGTGATCAACAAAAAAATGTTCATGATAGTTATGACTATAGTAACTACGCGCGGCTCTGAATTAAATCCAAATTGACTCTCGAAAAGAAGAAGAATTGAAACGAAAGAAAGTGAAGTGAGAAAAATCGGTTGTGATCCGAAAAACTGAAATGCAATTTTGGAAGTATAAAAATGAATAATTTTTTCTTCGAAATTATGAAAAATGAAATCATCCTCATATCCCCAAAGTGGAAACAAATCCAAGAAAAATTAAAAAAGTTGAGAATTAGAGAAAGAAAAAATGAGTCATCGACCGGGGAACGAACCTGGAACCTGTATACGTGTGAACTTACATCCTTTGGAACCCTCGTGCTATCACCCTAATCCGACTGTAGCGTGGCGGCACTGCAGTCTGCGGCTTATTGTACAACCATTTGAAGGTCCTGCTATTTTCCCATTCACCAATTCACTCTATCATTCATCGTCATTCATTCCACATCGTCAATGGTTAAGCGCTAGTCGGCTAAGTCACATGATGACTCGTTCATGATAAAATCTCTATCCACGATGTGACCGGACAGCTTAACAGCTTAACTGTTGCTAGTATGTGGATGCACACTAATCTCGCGGCTTTCCTCTGCAGCTTCAGATAGATATTATTTAGACTGCAGTCGCACATGCTCTTACCTGTTGAGGCTATCGAAACACATAATTTGATATCTAAACTCGTCAATTTTTCTTTGATTTGTTTCCACTTAAGGTATTTTTTATAATTTCGTATGGGAAATTCTAAATTATTCATTTTCATATTTCCAAAAATTGCATTTGAATTTTTTGGATCTCGTTAGAAACATTTTTTTGTGAATCACTCCTTACAATACGTGAGTGTACTTTTATTTGTTTGTAGCCGTTAAATATATTTTTGAAATAATTTAACAAAATTATTCGTTCGTGAATAAAGTGGTCACAACAAAAAAAAACTGATACTTATTTTAATAACGATATAAGCTGATTAGAGTAGATATCTCTAAACTACATCAGAGGTTGAAAAGTAAATATAAAAGAAGGATGAATTTAATCAATTCTAAAAAAAATAAAAACTATTGCCTTTTTTATTTAAATACTTTAAACGTGGCTGTGGATGGTTCAAATCCTTCTCGGGACAGAATTTATGTATGTACTTTGTTTTCGGATCAATAACTGATAGTTTTTTGGAACTTTAAACAGATTTCATTTATATTAATTACTTCTTGTTTATCGACAAATATCAACAATTTTTCTAAAACTTTTCCTCCAACACGGGCGAAGAATTCCACTAAATCAGCCTCTGTCTACAATCGCGCAAACGTGGAACATTTATAGCAACTTGTGGTGTCGACGTTTTCAGTTTGAAATTCCGAAGTATTCTGTGAGCCAGGTGGATTGTTATTACAAAGTTTCATCATGAGTGTTATCCGTAAGTAGATTTTTATACAACTAATTCATAAAAAATAATAATAGTATAGAAGTCTAAGTAATTTTATTAGCAATTAGATACGATTAGAGATTGAACCTAGATACCTACCTACTTATCGGAAGTTTCTGTTAGGAACCTACCGGTATTATGAGTATAAAATATATTTATTATTATTTTGCTAGATAAACGATACATAGGACTAGTTTTTATGACCTAAATACTTAGGTAGGACTTAATTTCATATCAAAGTAATTTTTTACATAGGTAACTTAGTGCTTTGCTTAAAAATGCAAAAATTCCATTTGTTTTAAAAGTTAATAAATTAAGGCGTGTAAATTATTTGTTTCTTGATTTATGATAATTACGATTTCAATTTATCGTATACACATAATAATTATTGTATACCTAATGTTGTCTAATGTATGAAGTCATCATAAATAAAAGCAATATAATACATTTACTTTTTATAAGTAAAAGTTTAATTCCTAAAAAAGTAACTAATTCTTAGTAAATTATTGTTAAAAGAAATTTATTTCAGACAAATTTCAGCGTGTTTATTTTTTGTTTTTATTTACGTTTTTCTACCGATCACATAATGAATTAACGAGTAAAAAGTATTCAATTTAATAATTTTTAAAAGCGTAAAATCAGTTTAATAAAATTTATAGCATGTTTACTTGCATGAAATCAAATTCGAGATATTATTTTATAATGTCTTTTATCATATACCTATAGAATAAAATCAATCTTTAATTTAGTTAGTCGTTTAAACTGTAGGCATAGGGAGTAGGTAACCTACCTATCCATCCACCCAAATAAAAAATAAAATCAACATTAGGTCATCAAGTACCTAAGTGCATAATAAATTTTGCTTCTTTTGATATAGGCTTGTTTTGCGTTAAGTAGGTCATAGGTCATATGTAGTAATTAATGTATATATTTCAAAACCATCAATTAAAAAATTTAATTTACTAAAAAAAGTCGCTTGATGTTAGGTATAGGTAAATGCTTTGGTATAGGTATAGATTGATTTATTATTATGGTATACGTGTCACGCCCATGGTTGCGACCTCCAAGATCATTTGACCATTTCAATCTGTTGTATTATGATGGTGTAACACAAACAACTATTTTTAGAACTGTTGTCATGTACTTACACAATAATTTAGTTATTTCAGTCATGTGACTTCTTTTAATTTCATGTCGAATAACAAACATATTTATGTAGGAACCCATTAAACTTTTAAAATATACCGGTCTTACATTCTTGGGTGTATGTATACACCTAAATGTTTTTTCCACCTAATTCGCGATTTATTGAAAGTACCTACTCATTTAAGTATTTTTTGTATCTCCTTCTTCTATTCTTAAGGGGTGCATACTTGTGGGTACCTATGAGGGACAAACATAATTCCTGGCTACATAGAAAGAAACGTGCAAGTGAAATTAATATGAAACATTTTATTCAACGAGCTTCCCCTCCCCTCAAGCTTAAAACATTTAGCACGCTTATTCAGTTTTGTTAATCCTTCCAAATAGAAGAGAGCCGGTTATCGGTTATTGCCCCTCCAAAAACGCCTACGTGTAGTTCCTAATTGGAGCCAAAATTGGTAGCCTTTAGGTGTTTCTTTAGCTTTGGAATATATGGGAATATGTGCTAGGCTAGTCTGAAGGGCCTAGATTTGGAGAATAAAGCGGATGGTTCAACAAATCAAAGCCAATTTGGTCGATTTACGTTAAGGCGTGGAGTTGTGGAGAGAGGTATGGGCAGGTGTATTGTCCTGCAAAAACTCGCGTACTATTTTGTACTGCGCATGAGTGCTATTTAAAAATTAAATCATTGCATGTATAAATATAAATAATATATACACAACCGCAAAATTAACCGGACACGAGGTTTTTCAGAAAAACCAAAAATTTAAATCAAAATAATTTCAGTTAATTATGTTAAATTATAAGCATTTTTTTCCATATTAACTAAAATTTGATTTCAGTCCATCAAAAATTATAATTGTTTAAAAAATTAAACACAAGGAAAAATAAATTTGCAGGACGAAAATTAAATGTTAATTTTGTGGTTGATTATAGTACGTTACGATGGCAAAGATTGGATTATGGCGGTCCATACTCGGCGACGTATTATTATTATTATTCAATAGCATTGTGTTTCTATACCCTTCTTCTTGAGTCAGGATTAAAAAGTTAACATATTGTATTATACAATGGTTAAATATGCTGTATTGTTTACGTCAGCCTCACTTACTCGATTAACACCAAAGCCAGGAACTTTTCAGCACATCTTCGTATCGTCAGTGTAAATCACAAAATGTGTAACTCCACTTTTTTCTGAAATGCGTACCAAAATGGTAGATGTACCATCTGAGAAATGCTTATTTTATTATTCATCCAAATTATATTAATTCTCATAAAAACAAATTCTTTTTACATAAGTGCAAGGGTTCTAATTTAAATTAGTTTTTTGGCTCTCCTGTAAAATTTTCCTTAGAGGAATTGCGTATGTACACTGACTGTATATTAAAACGTATACCTAATAGTAGGGTTACATATTTATCAGTTCGGCAAAAAAGTATAACGAGCAGTACCTACATACTCATTAGCATTTCTTGCGAGTTGAATACTATACTTTTTCTATGGTTACCTGCACTGCTACCTAATTCATAGGCGCCGTTTTTCTAAAATTCGTATCGGTGCTTACAGTGGCGCATCCAGAGTTTAAGTCTGGGGAGGCTATAGGGTTAATAAAGTTTAAGCCTGGTAATAATACATTTTAGTATCTATAAAAGGTTAAGTTTAAAAATTTTGCGATGTAATTACCTCCATTACCCCTCTTCCCGCCCCTGGGTGCTTAGACGAAGGTGGTATAAAATAGCCGAAGATTTTTTTGGTGCCACTCCCAAAAATGTTTTTAGGTTTCAAAACCTAAAACTATTTAAAAATTTACCGAAAAATTTCTTATATCAAATTATTTAATTAATATTAACATAAAAAAAATGTCTACAGAAAATGTTATACTTGACTATAGGTCTAAAATTTCAAATAAACATTTTTTACTTTAATGACTTCTATCGTACAATAAAAAAAAATATACCTACAGATTCTTCATGACACAAGGAATCCAGAAATCACTAATAAAAATTCTAAAAATAAGTAAATAAGTTATATTTACAAGAACACTGACAACACGCCCAGCATCCCTATTCGCTCCACTGTTCCATAAAATTTTTGCTATATTACTCATTTTCGCAAGTTTTTATTGGTTAAACATCATTTCTAAGTTATAACCTATTTAAAGTTTCAATGAAGTTCTATTTTTTTTATAAATTATTTAGGGATTATCAACTGCTTCAAAGAAAATGTACATGCTTTCGAAATACAGTGAACTGTTTTTACATGAAATAAAAAAATATAAACCCATTTTGACAAATTTTTGACTTTTTTCACACGATTTGTATATTTGTAAAACTTTTGTAAAAGTAGCTAAAGTCATCAAAAAAATTACAAAACAATAGGTATACCTTGTAAAATTATAACAAACAAACAAAAAAACCCAAGCTCTAGTGGTCTAGTAGTTAGACGTTGAAACGGATCCAGAGGTCGCGCTTTCGAGCCCCACCTGGAGCAGAATTTTTTTAATTTTTCAAATTGTCTTTGGTTTTTTAGCGCACCTCGATTTCTCTTGCATTTGTTTCGACAGTTTAAATCGACAAAAAATGTTCACATAAACTTTCAGTTTATTAGCCATTTAAAAAAAAAATCGTTCAGAGGTACCTACTCGTTATAGGAATAGTAAGAAATGATTTTAGAACTTTTAACGCATTCTGAAAATAAATATTTTAGATGTACATTTTGATTAAAATATGAAGCGATTTCTGATACTGACTGAACATTTTGTTCCCGGTACAATCAAAAACATTTTTTTTGTGTAAATGAGTTGTGAAGGCGAAAAAACTGCTCGCGCCAGTGGTTCATAAATTATAAAATGCCATATTTTTTTTTAACAATATACCCAAGTATATTTTATGTATTTTTTGTATATTTTATATACCTAAGTATATTTTTTATATTTTATTATTTATTTTTTTGTGAAGGGGCACTTCATCTACTACATCTGATTAACTCTGATTGAAATAATATTGTAACGGGTGATTAACTCACACATTCGTATGGGTGCTCCGCAGCCCTAACATATTCCGTCTGGGTGTTTGTGCACTAGGGAGGTTCATTTCCGCAAAATATTAATCTACATATAGATAAAAAAAATTCTCACCAAGTTTGAGCTCTTAATATCCATTTTAAGTACTTACTATTTAAATTTAAAGTTTTTCCATTTAAAATGCATGTAAAAAAAATTTTTTTTTCCAAATTTCTAATGCTTATCCACTTTTTACAACATTGCAAATCGATTTGATGGACCTTGTGGGGAATTACAGGCTCTTCGAAATTATATTCATGAGTGAGAAATCATAATAATTCTAAAAAAGTTCTTAGTGTAGGGAAATATAATGGTAATGAATAGAAAAAATTAATCTAAATAACATTATGAGTTAGGATTTATCAATTTCTTACGTTTTCAGGTATAAAAAATGCTGTAAATTCATTAAATATTGGTCAGATAACTTTTTTTTATGAGTCATACTACTTTTGGCGGTTTGCTCGAAAAAATGGAAAAAAATTTTTTTTTTTCAAAAACTGAACTTGACGACTCCTACTGGTGAACCAGTGCGAGTTACACAAAAAAAAACTCTCAAGCAATTTCGAAGAGCATTAAATTCCCCACAAGGACCATCAAACCGATTTGCATTATTGTAAAAGGTGGGTAAGCTTTAGAAATTAAAAAAAAATTACATGCATTTTAAATGGCAAAACTTTAAATTTAAATAGTAAGTAAAATTGATATTAAGAGCTCAAACTTGGTGAGAATTTTTTTTCTATATGTTGATTGATATTTTGCTTGAGCACCGAAAAAAAAAACTGCGGAA